GAAGCAATCAAGGAATTGATCAAAGATGGAAAAGTCACCCGGGAAGAGCTATTCATCACCACCAAGGTATCATTGTTTTGAACTTGGCATGCACTATAAGTGAGAAGAAAGCCTTTGGTATTCAATGAGCGCGGTGATACAACCCTTGTGAATCTTGACATGTATTGCTGCAGTAATTCCTTCTGTAAGTCCCTTCATGAGGCTTGATAGGATTTTTTGGCTCAAGTCTCGACGAGTTCGCCTTTTTAGAGCCTTTAATGATCGAAGCATTTTATGGCTACGCCTAATAATACTGTGGCCTGAATATCGAGACAAAACCTTGACTCATGTCAAGATTTAAACCTAATCCAGTTAAGGTGATTGAGCAATTTCATGAGGTTTTCTAGAAGCAATATACAGCGAGGTTTCTGTGTCTGTGAAACCCTTTCTTGCAGCTGTGGGCAACTCATCTGCACCCGGATGACACGGAAGGAGCTCTTCGCGACTCTCTTCGCCTTCTTCAGCTCGACTATGTTGATCTTTACCTTGCTCACATGCCGGCTTGTTTCAATGTGAGTGATCAGTTATGGCACATAAAAAATTTTCACCGCCCAAAAGCAATGAACTAATGACTGGAAAGTGTGGCGATTTTTGAACGACACCATCGGACATCATTGGTGGAAAGGCGTCGGCAGGTGGTCGCGACCACACCATCCAACGTGCTGAAGGGTCTAGTCTACTAATGAGCTCCAATGACGTCATCAAACCTGCCCCGCCCTCAAGCCAGCTTGTTCACTGCTTTAAGGCATTGCATGAATTTTAACGGATGTGGTTCACTAGGACAGAAAGCGACTTTTTCGCGTTTCGCAGCGCGAAACATTTTTCGCTGCGGGAACCTCGGGTCCACTGATGATTCGCTGCGGGAACCTCGGGTCCACTGATGATCAGCGGTGGACCTGAGGTTCCCGCAGCGAAAAATGTTTCGCGCTGCGAAACGCGAAAAATTCGCTTTCTGTCCTAGTGAACCACACCCAATTTTAACACAATGACGACAGCGCGAGATGCATATGCCCCGCACTTCTGCTTGGATGAGACCCTCTCACCTATGTTATGCCTCAATTTTGCACTTTTTATTAATGGTGAAGTTAATGGTGAAGAGATCACTACCGATGAAAATTTAAATAGATGTGGTGGTATACGCTGAACGGCGGTCGTCAGTGTGTTAAACGCTCGATTCTTAGAAAAGGACTCGATCTAGTACGCTTTCCAACCAAGATATTTTGACTTCAGCATGACATGTCGGCGCAGAACCATGAGGTAACCGTGGCAAATAGATGTGTGGCGAGGCTTGGAAGGTGTGCATAAGAAAGGGCTGGCCAAAGCGATAGGCGTTTCTAATTGGAGCGGTGAGCAGATCGAACGTGTAATGAAAACTGCCTCCGTGCCTATTCATAACTGTCAGGTTTGATTAAAATAATTTCCTTTTTTTCCAAATAAGTTGGCGCAGTTTTCAAAATCATTTTGGATGGTTTAGGTGGAACTTTACCTCTACTGGCCTCAGCATGAATTACAAGAGGTTTGCAAGAAGCACAACATTTCCCTCACTTCCTATGCATCATTGGGATCACCTGGACGTGTAAACTTCTCGCTTCCCGGAGGAGTGTGAGTTTTATGCTCACATAATTCTGTCCGTAGACAAAACTTACATTGCAATCTTTGACCTGCTTTCAATTTGATAGATTGATTTGTTTTTGATTTTTGCTTTTGTTTTTTTTTCTGTTTTTCACCGAAATTTGCCATATGCAATTTATCACAAGGATGCTGGCACACCTGCACTTCACCTAAGGCAGGACTTGAACCGCCACCTCTTGCTTCCCGGGTAGTACTACTACCGTAATACTATCGGTTAAGATCACGTTTTCATTGTACGTCTGAACTCTGATTTGCTATGGGAAATATACCGTTGGAAGCTGGGTTAATTTTCAGCGGTGTCCTGATGATCGAATGGGTAGCACTGTCCGGAAAACCGGTGCATGTTCGATCCCCGCCTGGAGCGTAGCGTTTTCCCCATGATCCTGTGTGCTAGAGATTTCTAAACTTATAGATGGAAGCCAGCATCGATTTTTCGAACATGAACATTGATATGGTAGTGTTCAACTCACTTCCGATGAAAAAGCAACAATAAAACGCTACCAGCCTCAGTAGCTTTGTGGATTCGAGGGATTTCAGAGTTTCCTCCGCTAAACCAGACATTTTGAAGTGAAGATGAAGTTGTAAGCCTTTCTCAGCTCCTTTATTTTTTTCGCATCTTGTACCATAAATATTATAGGTTTTTGAACTTTTTTCTTGCCAATTATCGCAAGTTTACTGCTCCACTTGATGGTAATTTTTTGGGTTCCTGTCCATTTTCTTTGTTCTTTGAAATGATGGACCTGTCACCATATGTTGGATTGCAGAAAACTTGACTGGGCGCCTGCACCGAATGCTCTAGAGGATGAACATGTGAAAGAGTTGGCTAAGAAATATTCTAAAACTCCAGCTCAGGTATGAAATTATCTCGATTGAGACGAATCGAACCTTTATTCCAATTTTTGATTTTCAGATTCTGCTTCGCTACGTGATGGATCGTGGTATCGCCGTCATACCAAAGTCTGTAAATCCATCCAGAATAGTTGAAAATTTCCAGGTATCTTCTTGTTTAATTTTCTTCTTTTGTTTCCTTGGAGAGCCACTACGTTTTACAGTTATTCGACTTTGCGTTGACCAAGGATGACATTAAACTGCTGGAATCCACTAAACACCGTCAGAGACTTTTCTTGCAAGATTTGTGAGTATTGTTCCATAAGTCGTTCTGTTCCGTACTTTAGGGTGACCGAATGTCAGGTTATGACTTCAACGCTTAACTGCGTTCATACATGGACTGTCAGATTATGAAGCATGTAGGAATTCAATGAAGGGGTAGTGTAGGATGATAACGAGAAAGGCTGAGGTGTTGAATGCGTGGGGACGGTGTAGGGACAGTCGTGATGGCCTAATGCAACTGTGGAGCAGTTTCAACCGTCTGTCTGGCACAAGGATGGCGTGAAAAGCAGCCAGATGAAAAAAATTGCAGAAGGAATCAATTGAAGGGATTAA